TTTTAATAAATGACAAATTAAAAAAAGCATGAACATTTTTTTGTATCAAAAAAATATCAAACCGAACCGTGAATTTTGTGTATCGTTGCACCCCTAATATATATATATATATGTATATATATATACATATATATACACAGAGAGAGAGAGAGATGAATGACTCGGTGTAATAAATATTTTCCTTACATCTTCATGTCATCATAGTTTAACCTGTCTAGAGGGACTTGGCCATAAAAGCCTCTGTCTATGATCACCACCACTGACACAATGACTGCAGGAACACCTGAAACACAAGAATTGATTAGTCACGCACAAGTTTGCTGACTGCTTCCTGTTTGAAGGATTCCACTTACCCCATCCCACCACACTGAGTTTGAGAATGTATCTGCTGACAGAAATGTTGAAGATTTTGACTAAGAGAAGGTAGAGGTGGAACCCCTCCAAGGCCATCCAGGTGAAAGTGGCCAACAGGGAGTAGTGAAGGGCAAGAGCCATGTAGAAACAGAGCCAAGTGGAGGGGTATGCTGCCACTGCCTGACTGGGCAGGAAGTGCAGGTTGAGGAGGATCAGGGCGATGACGAGATTGATGTGGATGTTCATAGAGACATCTTTTCTGAGCGTCCTGTTGGACAGAGAAGAAGGGATCTGTTGTAAATGACAACTTTCTTTGTCATATCTTGATGGGGAAAAAAACAAAAACAAACCACAAATTACCTGTTTGTGATGAAGAGTAAAACGGTGATGATCAGAGTAAAGAGAGACACGCTACAGCCAATCACAGAAATGTATGCTAATATCTCAATTTCTTCTTTTGAGACGTGCGCAGAAGGAGATGTCTGTGGAGCAAATACACTTTCACATTAACTGTTCACATTATTAGTGGCACAAAATTGAGGTTTTTAGATATTTTAAGTTTAGTGATTCTATATTTACTAGGTGGACAAATCCTAAAAATGTGGGGGTTATTTATTTAAGATAATTTTTTTTAAATGTGTTCATTTTACAAAATGTTTAAGTTTAGCCTTTTTCACTTTAACAACAATATTTCAGACCTAACTGCTTTTGTTACAATTGGCAAGTTAACTGGCATATTAAATCACCTCTGCTGTTTTTAACAGAAAGCTAATTAAATGTTACTGTATCCGTTATAAT